AAGGCCATGGATTGCCTTAAAGGTGGGGACGAGGATCTTGAACTCGATCCCCTGGGGGATGGGGAGCCAGTGGAGTCGGGCGAGGGTGGGAGTGATGGGGTCACGGAGACTGGTGCGTGAAAGTTCACGAGCTGCAGAGTTTTGGATGATCTATAGCTTATGAAGGGAGGAGTTGGGAAGGCTGATGAGGAGGGAGTTCCCTAATCACGCCTTCAGGTGAGGGTGAGGGTTTCGGCAGCCTGAGGGGTGAGAAGGTGGCGGAGTCTGGCAATGTTGCAGAGGTGGTGGAAGGCAGTGCCGGTCATGGCGCGGATGTGGGGGAGAAGGACAGTTCAGGGTCAAACAAGATACCCAGGTTCTTGACTGGCTTAGTGAGGTTGAGTGTGCAGCCGTGGAGGCTGATGCTGCCAACGCCTGAGGTGCGGAGGCGCTGGCGCGAGCCAATCAGGAGGGCCTCGGTCTTGCTGACATCGAGTTGGAGAAAGTTGTCCCTCGTCCAGGACTTGATGTCGGACAGTCAGTCGGTTAGGACGCCAGTAGTCCTGGAGTTCAGGGTGGAAGCAGAGAGGTAGAGTTGGGTGTCATCTGCATACATGTGGAAATTTACCCCATGTCTGCGGATGACGTCACCAAGGGGAGCATGGAGAGGGTGAAGAGGAGGGGACCGAAGACAGAGCCCTGAGGAACACCGCATGAGACAGTGCGAGGGCTGAAGGAGAAGCTGTTTCCTGAGACGAAGTGGAGGCGTTGTGAAAGGTAGGACCTGAACCAGTCAAGGACAGAACCTTGAAGGTTGAGGTGGGAGGAGAGGTGGTGGAGGAGGATTGAGTGGTCCACGGTGTCAAAGGTGGCAGAGAGGACGAGGAGGCAGAGGGAGCCCTGGTCACACATAGTCAGGATGTCATTTGTGACCTTGACCAGAGCAGTTTCCGTGTTGTGGGCAGCACGGAAACCGGATTGGAGGGGCTCATAGAGGGAGTGAGAGGAGAAGAAAGAGCGAAGCTGGGAGGCAACAGCTCTCTAGGACCTTGGATAGGAAGGGGAGATTTGAGATGGGCCGGTAGCTAGATAGCTGTGATGGGTCGAGGGAAGGTTTCTTCAAGGTGTGGGTGATAGTGGCTGTTTTGAAGGGGGAAGGAATTGTGCCAGATGACAGGGAGAGGTTAATGATGTTCAATCAAGAAAAATATATTTGGTTCGCCAACCAAAAAAGCTACCACCGAGCTAGAGTGTTGGGAGGGATCAGGTGCAAGATTTTTGAAAGTAGGGTAAAGATGGTGGTTTTAAATAGGAGGGACAGCTTGCCAGAAAACAAGGGAGAAGTTGATGACATTGGCTCATAACATAAGACCATACAAAATGCTAGACCAAAAAGACCAAGGTCCATCTAGTTCACCTTCCACCTTCCTGGCGGTTGCATGCACATGTCCCAAACTATCCATGTACTGTATCCCATATTATTTCCTAAAACAAAACTATCTAATCTGTGTTTGAAAGAATCAATACTTCCTGCTTTAACCATCTCCCTGGGGAGCCTGTTCCACAGGTTCTAGATTCCCTCACTTAAATAGTGTTTGCGTAGATTTGTTCTGAATTTACCCCCCTTGAATTGCAGGCCATGTCCTCTGGTTTTACTATTCAGGACAAGTTGAAACAGCCTGTTGTGATCTATATTGTCTTGCCCCTTTGGAATCTTAAGGGCAGTAATCATGTCGCCTACCAATCTTCTCTTTTTCAGAGTGAACATGCCCAATTTACTTAGTTGCTCCTCATAGTCCAGTCCTGCTGACTGGCACTGGTCCCGCTCATCCCTTGCACCCTCCGCCCCTCCATTGGCGGTCGTGCTTTCAGCCTCTACGCCCTGAAACTCTGGAAGGCTCTCCCTCAGTCCCTCCGCCTTGCCCCCTCTCTCCCCTTTTTCAAGTCCTGTCTGAAGACCTTCCTTTTCGATCGTGCTTACGGCCACCAACCCCTGCCCCCCAGTCAGGCTTGGAGTCAGGCTCTGCCAGTGTTAAGCACTCTGAGACGCTACACTGCATGGAGGGTGTTATATAAGTGCAAGTTGTTGTTGAAGTCAACATTTGCTAAAGTGGACGCTAAGTATCACATGACAAGTTTTGAAAAGCAAATTTTGCTAGGTATCCTGGTGAACAATCCTTCAGATTTACTTCATTCACTTCATGGCTGTATTTGGGATCTTGCTGACTGAATTGCTTGCTGAATTGTCCTACAGAAACAGTCTACATGATAATCATCCCTATGAAGTACATGAGAGATGTTATGATGCGATAATGCCTTTTTATGTAATGTTAGGACTGGGAGAAGGCTGTGGTAGTGGTGGAATACTGCCATTAGAGGGCAGGTGTCCAGATTTGAATAAAGGAACTTAGGAGAGAATAATATTCGGGAGCTGCTATGTGTTTAGAGATTGTCCCCACAAGAGATATGATGGGTGTGTGGAGTCCACTGTCTGGCAGGTTTTCTGGGTCTGTAGACTTATTTGGCTTTTTTTTTCACAAGCCCTCTTATGGTTTTATGTTAATGTTCACCAGTTTGGAATATTTTGATAATAATAATCCTTGCATTTATTTATTATTTATGTATTATTATTGGAATATTTTGGTAATGTACCATGAGTTCACATTAAATCTAGTGTGCAGACTAATTAGTTCTGTGAAATTGTTAGCTCATTGAGCATGTTTACAGAACGTCTGATGGGCATAAATTCCCCTTCTAGGAATTGTTAATATTCCACTGAGAGAGGAAGTGACTTTTATTTGAATACATTATTTTACTTGGTCAGCCTGGCGCAGTGATAGCTCTCTCGCCCTTTAGTCAGAAGGTTGTGGGTTCAAGCCTCAAGTTCGGACTTGGCATTGCATAGTCTTGAAATAACACAATTACACTGCAATGCAGTCCTGCATTGTTGGAGGTGCTGTCCTTCGAATGAGATGTTAAAAGTGAAATCCCGCCTGTTTTGCTCAGGAGGATGTGAAAGATCCCTGGCACTATTTGAAAAGAGAAAGAAGTTTCTCCTGGTGTCCTGGCCAACGATCGCTCAAAATAAAAATTGGTCATTCATGGACAGTTTGTGGGACATTGCTGTGAGCAAATGAGCAAATGAGCTGCCATGTTCACTCACACCTACACAAATCCTGTGAAGCACTTTGGGACTTCCTCACAATGTGAAAAGTGCTTTCGCAAATGCAAGGATTATTATTATTTTATTATTGTTGTGTTAATAGTATATAGTTCAGGCGGATTAGTTCAATTTGACTGTTAAAAAAAGCTCTTGACAGTCCTGAAAACTTATTAAAATTAATATATAGGAGATTGAAACCTTGTTCTCCACAAATAAAGATTAACATAGAAAATGCGTTTGGATGATGATATGAGGTTCGATTTATGAAAATCCTGGGGTACTAAAATTAATTTTTAAAGTTTAAAATTTTGGTTGATTAACTACATTCCGGGATCATGTAGAATTCTATACTGATGAGAAATATTTGTCTGTGCATCTGTGATTAAAATGTACATTATTAATACTTGCAATATTCAAGAAAAAAACTACCTTAAGTACTTAAGCAGCTTCATGTATTATGGAGAATAATTCTCCATGATTTTGATTTCTGTATGAATTATAATGTTATATAAAACGTCTTTTTAAAAAATATTTTTGCAACGTGAAAAAGTTAGATAAATCAATTCCCCTTGGAATTCTAACACAAATATTTTGACTTTTTTTAACCAGAGATCCTTAATGATATTTTTTTACAGAGAGGGTTTATTATTTCTAGATAATTTCTCTCTAATGTCACTTTTCATTGAATTTTGCTATAATTTGGGATGTTTTAAAACTAATGGAAACTATAAAAAATGTGATTCTTTTTTCTCTCCCCAAGCAGTATTTTAGCTGAAACATCCAAAAGTATGCATTCTTTAGAGCTGTCAGACAATAGGGATCTCAGGCTTTAAACGCTCCATTCATATTCCTTTAGCTAAAGATACAATATAAATATGGTTTTAGGACAATTACTTCAATCCTGTGCCTTATTCCCCAAATCATCTGAGGACGTGGTTTCAGCAATATAGTTGATGCTATTGTCTGCAGTGCGTTGATGGATCAAAGGGAAGTTCTTGCAAAGCGAATAAGAGAGGCACTTCACAAAGACTCGCTTGCTTTTCTTCTCTTGAGACTCTTTAAATATATTTTATATTCTGTTGCCTCTATGGTGACAGTTTAGTTTGCAACAATAACAAGTTGCATTTATATAGGGCCTCTTATGTCAGTAGAAACCCCCAAGGCATTAGATACACCTCAGACTGGTGTTAGCATCATAGAGCTGGATAAACTGCAAAAACTGCAAACATGCCTCCAGGCTATAACTTTTGTGTTGATGTTTCAAGTGCTATACTTGGTTCTCTTTAAAACAAGTTCAATATGAAGGACATTAACTATTTTTTCCTCTCTCAGTTATTTTCAGATAGGAGTAAAAAAGAATAAGACAGTGCCAAAAGATATTCAGGTATGTTTTTTCACTAAACTTTAACCAGGTTTTTTCTTACGTTCCATTTTCCACCCTGAATTTGAACGTCAACATTAATTAAGCTCCAAAAAATTCCAAAGCCCAAATTGGTGATCATTATAGTTCATTTGAGTTCCCACTGTAACTGAAGAGCAAACACTTTAATGTTCTAACAGCGTTTGTTCGGTTCACTTTCATTCTTGAATCATTTGTCTTTGGGTATACTAACCAGTAGGGAAAAAAAAATCTAGAAACCTTGAAAATTCTTCATTTCAATCTTGATTTGGAAGCTGGGCTTGTTTTACAATCTGCAGGGAGACTGGCTAAATGCAGCGATGCTGTGATAGAGACCCAGATACAGGTATCCATTTGTCGCTCACCAAACCTCATGTTTCATTATGGAGATACCTGTCAATAGCTCATTTGCCATTGTAACCTACATCTCGTCAGTGACAATATATAGCACCACATTCCCTCTGTCAAGGGACACCTTTGTGAAGGATGCATATATTGTACATTGACATTGAAGTATATCGACTTTGACTGGCCCATTTTTGAGTGTTTACAACTCTTAAAATTTGTAAATATTTGAGAACTTATTATATTATATATAATTTTAACATTTTGAATAATTCTCCATAATTTAGATTTATGTATGTATGTATTGCTTCTAATGTATGGACTATTTCAACATCCCTACTTCAGCAGAGCAATGAGGTTATTCCAATTATGTTCCAATGATTTATCTTCATGTCAGCTTGGCTCAGTTAGTAGCACTCTTACCTCCTGAACAGAAGATTGTGGGTTCAAGCCCCACATTGGGAGTTTGAGCTCTGACACTCCAGTGCAGTGCTGGAAGAGTAGTAGAATCTTTTGTCGGGTGCTGTTTTCCAGTGACATATTAAACCTGTTCAGGTGAATGTTAAGGATCCCATGGCATGTTTTGAAAAAGAAGGGAGCTTCTCCCAGTATCCTAGCCAACAATCCTCCAGATAAATTGGTCAATCATTTCTTGGCTGTTTATGGTATGTTGCTGGTTATGCTACGTTGCTGTGCACTGCACTCTACAGCAATTATGCGTGAAGCACTTTGAGATGTTACAGATGTTTTATCAAATGGCAGGATTATTGCTATTTACTCAAATGTATTTAGTAAACCGTAAACGTGTTTTTTTAAAAAATGATAAATAATAATCCTTGCATTTGATATAGCGCTTTTCACGCTTTTCTTCTCAACGTCTCAAAGCGCTTCACAGAATAGACTGTAAAGTGAATTGACCATATATTTGTGGGCGAAACGCAGCAGCCAATTGTGCACAGCAGTGCCCCACAAACAGTTGTGGATTGAAATGACCAATTTATTATTGTTTTTTGTTTTGGAGGGATTATATTTCTCTACACTGAGACAACAAATCAAATATGTTTTGCTTCAGTGAAAGACCAAACAAAATTAAACCTCCCACTGGTATTTCCTTGTTAGAAATTCCCTGTGTGTTTGTCGAGTAAACATGAGATTAAGCGTTCTGTGATGCTCCAACAGTTGACAACCTGCTCATTGCCGAGCATTACACGTACGAATGGTTTCCTATATAAATTAGTAGAGGGCTGGCAGAACCTATCCATTATCCCAGCATGACGCATTACTTTTCACTAAAGGAGGGGAGAAAGGAAACTGAACAGATTAATGGAATGATGAGATTGTACTGTATTTTATATTTGCCAAAAAAGTTTAATTATTCAACATTGAGACTTTAACTGGCAAAACAAATCTCACTTTCCACAAGTTACATGCCATATACACTGAATTTTATGATGCATTTCAAATGAATACATCATAAAGACTTCCTGAAGCTTTTTTAATTGTGATTGGTGAATTCTCTACCCGAGGGTGGTAAAATGCATACTTTCCAGCATATAATTTTCTGGTTTTCCATTGATGCATTTTTGCATTATTTGGTGCATTAAAATAATAATAATCCTTGAATTTGATGTAACACCTTATCACGTCATTGAGATGTCTCAAAGCGCTTCACAAGATGTAGTGGGCTTCCAGCATAGAGACAAATACAAGAGGTGTTAAATCTGTTTTAGCTTTCTGAAGATCAACTCTATTATAAATAGTCGTGTCATACTTGATTAATCAATTGAGGTTTTCACATGTAAGATCTTATATTGCTGAGACCTGGTTTAAACCCGGATTCTCTAAAGGCAGAATATGCAGTTAATTGCCGCACAGTTTCTGCATGCTAGCAAATAGAAAGAGTGCCCTAACATCTTTACATTGGGGTACTGTCCCTTAAACTTTTAACTTTTACTGTCTCTTTTAAGCTCTTAAAATTGAACAGTGAAATGTTATATAGTTTAAAGAAAGGTATAAAGTATGGGTATAAAGGTTTAAAAGTATAGATTTTATAACAACAAATTATCTTTACCCTTATTAAGAGCTGTGCATAAATATATATTTTTAAAAAACTGCATAGTGAAGCATGATACCATACTTCCAGAAGGTTATTTTATGTGCGAGTCTTGATCATAGTTTTCACTCTTGCTCTTAACTTTCCCGTGGAAACTTACCAACTCACTATTTTGAATTGATGTGAAAGGAAAACCTGCTGCGATCAACTGCATATTCTCCTTTTAGAGAATTGCTGGATAAAATACATTTGTCTGATGAGACTACATCTTCTAAAAGCATCATCAGATCTAAAATTAAGAATGACTGCCTACTAAATGAGAGTAGAGTGCAGAATGAAGTACATTTGAACATTTGGATTTTAAAAATAATCCTTCAACAACCTCCGTCGACAGGGTGACCAAAAAGTCGTGAAATCATTACAATGTCTAAAAAGTCTTAAAGAAATTATTTTTTGTTAATAGGGTAGATTCACGACTTTGGTCATCCTGTATCTTGTGCCCTAGATGCTATCCTGCATGAAGGATACCATATAAATGGAAGATGTTATTGGATTACTTTTAATATTAGCAGTATTGTTTTAAAAAACAGTTTAGTTCCTACTTGTACATTTCTCGTTCACTTCAGAGCTCGTACAAGTGACTAAATATTGGTAGCATTATAAAGTAATCTTGCACTCCTAGTAAAATCAGTTATGATCTATTTCTTTCGATATTTCTTTCTCTAGATGTATCTGTTTATATGGAATTCATAAGACTACATTTACAAATCAATATGAAGTAGTGAATACAAATTGCAATATATTTTCAGTACAAGTGCTAAAACTCAGAGATTGGCATGCGTATCTTTCCAGTTACTTTATCTTAGGACTCTGTAATTCATTGTATTTTCCTTTAGCCTTACCTCGGCACTTAATGTGTGATTGTGACTCTGTTGGGGGCAGAAACATTAAAAGCTGTTTCTATTCAGGTCTGATGCTGAAAACTTTTTTATGTGTTTGTACTCTGTTGACCTTGCTTCCATTTCCTTTTCAACGTTTAGTTTATGGTCTTTACCTGCCCTTACAACAGGTTACCTCAGAATTTATGCCACTTATTATAGTTACCTTTGGCATCCTGCCATATTTCAGGAGTTGTAGCTCTTGCCTTGTTTCTCCTGTAAGATGTGAGTGACTGGGAAAGGCTGAGATGTAGCCTTTCGTGCAAAGCTCACAATCTGATGAGCTGCACTCAAGTTTCAATGGACAAACTCCAGCACTTGGCATTTGAAACAGTGAAACTTGGGCTCCTGGATTATTACTGGGGGTGCAGTAACTTTTTACTGATGTGGTTGAGTGGTCTGAAATTCTATTTGGTGTTATAATAATCTATAATATTTATAATCCTTGCAGATGATGCAATAATAATCCTTACATTTGATACAGTGCTTCTCATGTCTTCCAGCCATCTCAAAGTGCTTCACAGAATATACTGTAAAGCGAATTGACTGTATATTTGTGGGTGAAACTCGGCAGCCAATTGCGCACAGCAGTGTCCCACAAACAGTCATAGATTGAGTGACCAAATTATGTATTATTTTTTTTCTTGAGGGATTATTACAGGCATTTGGAGTAAGGAAACTTGCCCAAGGTTTCACTCTGCCGGGAATCGAACCCAGATCTCTCACTTGCAAGGCTCTAACCACTGAGCTATAGGACTCCAATATAGCACCTTATCATGTTGTTGAGACATCTCAAAGCACCTCACAGGATACACTGTAAAGCGAATTGACTGTATATTTTGTGGATGAAACAGTGCGAGAGGTAGGCATGCTGAGGAATTTGTGATAGCTTTAATCCATTTTCCCTATTTCTTAAAAAGCAGAAAACCAGTTTAAAAATTAAGAATGAATTTAAGAATTTCCAGACTTTGAACAATCAGAAACTTTAAGACATTATTTTGAGGCCAACATAAGGTGGGAACTGGGGCCTCTGACCTCATCGTCCTCACAAACTGTTGCCTTTGGTTCTTTCTGCCATACTAGGGAATTGTTAACTCAATTATCTTGCAGTCTGCGCTTCAGTTCTCGTGGTTACTCCCTTCATTTAGCTCCTGATTGGCAACTGAGGAGTCAACTTGTTTTAGCTTACATATAAATATCTTACCCACAGTGTATACCTTTTCAGTCTTTTTTTCAAGTTCATTGTTTGACTGTCTAATAGAATTCATTATTCGATAAAAGTCCTTAAATGAGTGGCTCTGAAATAAGTGGTAGCAGAATAACTTTTCACATTTTACCATTTAAATAAATGGATTGAGTGAATTAACTCTCATCCCAATTATGGCTAAATACACTCGAGTTATTAAGGAATTCTCATTGGATTAAATTTAATCTTGAAAACATATCAGGTGAATGAGTTACATTATAAATTCTCAGCTGAATAAATTAATTGTAAGTAAATATTACTTGGCATAGTGGATGTTAATTGCATTACATAAGGTGCTTCTAAACATGTATAAAATGGGTTTAATTTCCTAGCTATTTAATAGGAACTGTCAAATCAATGATTGGGTCAATTATTTCATAACAATTAATTGAGTTGGCGATCA